TTCTGGCTTATTATGGCTTTTGGAGAATTTCGGAGGCATGTAATTTTGGTACATTTGCAGCTCGTACATCTTCAATTGTTCTTTTTAGGTTACAGTGAAATTATACAGGAAAAACAATTGCGTTGTTAATGTATGTCTTTTTCTTGGGTTTGCAAGAAGGTAGATGAAATCTATATAGGAAAAACAACTTAGACAATGGTTTAAGTTTTCAAAATAAAAGTTGAAGATAGTAAACTTGTTTTGATGTTTGTGTGGCTTGAAAAACTTGAATACAAATTAAGGAAAAACATGCCATGATCATTTATTTGACATATATAATTTGTGAGGTTAAATTTCAAGTTGAATGATAGTTAGTTTTAAGATTTGTTTTCTAATTTTCATCTTATGTGCCATATAAAACCATATAATTAAACACGCGAACATACAAGTGTTATCAAAACATAACTTATATTTCTACGAAGCCAAATTAAATTGCACTATTTTGTAACTAGTGTGAATGATAGACATTAATAACATCTAAACCAACAACACAAAGTTGGAAGGCAAATGAATAATAATATGCATTTTTAGAATTTAAAAGCATTAGCTTTTGAGTAAATTTGATGGTTGCGAACAATTTTCAATTCAAATATTAAGGAATTCATAACGAGATTAATAATTTTCAGTTAATAAACGTAAATATTTCCTAACAAGATGTTATATTCAATGCATATAATTGGACTATATATGTAAAACCCTCAAGAAAATTAGAGTTAGACCCTTGATTTTGAGTGTTTTGAAATTTCTAGGATTAATGAAATCATTATCTAACGCAATTGGGAAAAAATTCTAGAACTTCTTTAATTAATCCACAATGTTGATAATTTGCACATGTGAACGGTATTGTTGATCCGTTGCATCTCGGTGCATCTCATCCAATGTATATGTATATATATATATATGTATATATATATGTATATGTATATATATATGTATATATATATATGTATATGTATATATATATATGTATATGTATATACATATATATATATATATATATATATATACAAACACACACACATACATTTATATATAGTTGATTTTCAATAAGAATAGTAGTTACCATGAGAAGTGATATTCACCTTTGAATCAATCTTAATTGAATATCAATTGAAAATGCATTTTAAAGCTAATTCATGGATATTTTGGGACTTAACCTGAACCATTAGATCAATACTAATTAAAAGTGATCAAGGGTCCAAACTCTTCTTACACTTCTCACCTTAACTCATGTTCTTACACGATATTTCGTCTACATATTTAGCCAAACGTTATTTTGATAAATGGTAGTAAAGAAGTGATCATATCTCTTCATATGGTCAAGATCGACTGGTGCATAATTACAGCTTTGATTGGTCAATAATTACGGTTATAGAAAAAATAGAGAGAGTATTTTCGTAACTTTTACAAGTAGGCGGCAAACGGGTTCATATATGAACCTATGTGATTCACATATGAACTATAAGTGCTTGGACATTCCAAAATATGTTAAATAACTTTTTAAATTTTCTAAAACATGTTAGATACATCCTTATGACATATACAACTGGTTAATGTAGTAAAATAATGAAAAAAAGTTTAAAAAAAAACCAATATACTTTCATATTTTGAACGATTAAGTCCTTAAACATTTTTTGAACAAAAAAAGTACTTATATTTATAAAATGAATCAAATATATTAAATAAGTACTTACATTTAAAAATGATTACTGATAAAATTTATTTTAATTAAAAATAAAATATATTATGTATGTAATTTTTTGAAAAAAAATAAAAAATATTACTGATGCAATTTCTTTTAATTCAAAAAAATAAAATATATTCCGTTACTGATTTTTCAAATTAAAAAATTAGTCGATAATTTGATTAAATAACCGACGGATAAACGATAAAATTTAACCAAATACATAATTAATTAAAATTTGTAGTTAATCCGTCGATGAAATGATATTATCGACAAGATTCAAACACGATCTTTCACATTTATTAACATGTTACTATGTTAATGTGTCTGACGGTGGTCAAGTTAGTCATCAATTAGATATAAGCAATCAATGCATATACCAATGAACACTAGCGGCAAAATTTAATTAATTATGTAATTAGTTAAATTTTATCGTTAATCTATCAGTAATTTAATTAAATTATTTTCTATTTTGTTAATTTGAAAAATTACCAACGAAATATATTTAACTTTTAATTAAAATAAATATCATCAGTAATCCTTTTTAATTTTTTTTAATTTGAGAAATCATATATGAAATATATTTTACTTTTAATCTAAATAAATTTAATCAGTAATCTTTTTTAAATCTTTTTTTTAATTTGGAAAATCACTGATATAATATTTTTTATTTTTAATTACAATGAATTTCATCAATAATTTTTTTTAAATGTAAGTACTTTTTTGTAAATTAAATACTTTTTTTGTATATTTGTTTATTTTATAGATGTAAGTAATTTTTTGTTTCAAAAAATATTTAGAAAATTAATCGTTCAAAATTTGAAAGTTTATTCGCTTTTTTCAAACTTTTTTAATTATTTTATCACATTAACCAATTTTATAGGTCATAAGAATGTATTTTCAAGTTTTAAAAAGTATAATGAGTTATTTAACAAATTTTGAAATGTCTAATAACTTATTTGTTTCAAAACAATTGTCCAAGTACTTAATCATTCCAAACACTAAAAGTTCATTGAGTTTTTTTAGACTTTTCCCTTATTAATAATGAGAGATTGAGACTGGATCTTAGAGTTATCACAAACTACTAAGTTCTCCATTGAATAACCCTATATATATACGCGCGTGTGTATATATATATATATATAGGTGAAAGATCGTGTGAAAATGAGAGTTAAGTTGAGAAGCGTAAAAAGGGATCTAGACCCTTGATCACCTTTATCTCAATCCCACCCATGATACACGCTTTGCAGAAGTATAGCTTGATCTTCGTAGCACTAAAAACCTCAAATGAGGAAAATATGAGAATGATGTTGATTGCGAGATATGTACATAATAAGATATTGCAATACTCAACGGTTATAGTACATCTGAAATGTATCATTGGATTTAAGCTAGTTCCTCTCATTATCTCCTATGATCTATATCATTGCAATTGAGGCTGAGTATTTGACACCCTCTTGGTCTTCAGCTCACAATTATAGATAGCAGTATTGTAGTTTCAAATGCCCCTAAATTGCTAAAATAGTACGTATTGTGTTTATTGTTTTCCTATATTTCATTGATTCAATAACCCTTAATTTTGATCATATAAAAGAACTTATTATACATTCTAGAACTCATATACATGTTGATTTGGTGTACAATCCTAGGCTTACATGTAAACTTGCTAAAGACACATTGATCTTGACCTGAATTTCGTGTATACCCACATATGCCATATTGGTCATGCTAGTAAGTGGGGAAAATGATGGGCGAACTTCTCCAAATGCTCCACCAAATTGACATATGAGTGTGTGCTTTGATCATGAGTCAGATGTGTTGCAATATTGTCAAATATATACATATATTATAGCAATTATTTTATTATTATTATGTGTATTAAAAGTTTAATGACAACTTTTACAAGATGATTACTTAATTTAATTGCTTTTTTATTGGTTATTTTTCGAGCTTTAATTTGTTTTTATCCTTTTTCCTGATCATTCTATGTAAACAAGATTTTATCTTTATTCTCTTTGGAAATTGAGTGGATAATTACGTAATTAAGTGTTGTGATCTTATTGAGTCCATAGGACATTGTATCATCAGATAGTATTTCACAATTCACATTATCATATGCAAGTTAGAAAATAATGTTCTGAACATAAATTTTAAATGTCACGTCGTACGTGTGTAGTACCTCGAGTTTCAGCTGGTGGCTTTGAAATAGTTTCTCCCAACAAGACAAGGCGACACTTACGTGAAGGTACATGGAAGGAGATGAGCTTGGTTGATTAGTGTACGACTAGGTTAGCATGCAAGGGACTTGAACACACTTGCTAGACATAGGGGAAAACTAAAGATTGTAGATCTACCAGGTCCAAGCTTGGGCAAAGTCGCAACATAGTGATATTGGCTATGTTTGCATAACAAACTACACGTTTAGTAAAAGCTATCTGATAACCTTCATGACAATATAAAATGATCTGAAAGTACTTGTTAAAAATTTACTAAACACTAACGTATACGAGGCATAATTAAAAAAAAGTCACTACAGTTAACTAAAAATCTATCTTGTAGTTTTTTCTAAAACTAGTTTATCACTTATCTAATGAAGTTTTGTTTAAAATAAACTCAAAAAATAAGTTAAACTTATGGTTACGGAACATGACTGTCAGGATAAGATAAGGAAATTGGTGCGGTATGACTAACATTCATTTAACTTTTTTGAAGTGTGACAAGAAGATCGATCCCTATATGCATTGTAATTAAATAGAAGACATAAAATACCGTATCACTAATTCTTATATCATGGTATTCAGTTAAATCTTAGACTAGTATGTGATAACACTAAGTTTCCTGTGGTTGACCAAAGAAAGATCTATAGTACCCGTCCAACAACTCTCCATGGCTACTTAAGGCAAAGAACAAAAACCTTTCAGAACGAAGATGAAATAGTAAGTTCTATATATATTCTTTTCTTTAATTTAGCTTTGAATATTAACTGGTGACAGAACTTTGATTATCTAATGCAAATAAATAGTGGTTGGTGTTGATTTGTTTGTACTCACGATTAATTGACATTCAAAATAAGCCCTTCCTATATATAATTCAGATCATCAAGAGTTATGTAAATACATAGGTGATGCACTCATCAAGGCTGCAATATTATATAAACATCAATTTATGAGAACTGCATACCATTTATTATGATTTAGTGATTCCATCCAGAAGAAATAGAGAGCTTACAAATTAAACTAACAATAAATAAACGAAAGAAGAAGGAGATTAGGTGTACACAACAAGCAAGTTCAATCCTTTCTTTATTTTCTTTCAGAAGTAAAATGCAAAGACATGAATGTAATCACTTATAAACACGCAAACAGATGGGGAGAGAAGGAGAGGTTTTCTTGAAATACTACTAATCTCCTTCACCTTCTGTTAAAGCTGAAGACATGTAGCTTGGGGCGATGGAGGTCTCATCAGCTGTAGTGGCTGCAGCATGATTAGTAGCGGCTTCAAAACGTTGCCTACAAGAATAGCAAGTGATCTCTAACATGGTGGAGCTGATCTTCTTGGTGGCTTGTTCTCGAAGAACCTTAGCCCTTTCTAACTCCACCTGAGCTTGTTGCCTAATCCTCTTGGCATTCTCAAACTCCATCTCTGCCATCTCAATTTGCTTCTTTGCTTGGTTCCTAGCATCTTCTGCAAATGCCTTGTCTGCCATAGCTATCTTCAATTCTTCTTCTCTATGCAAGCTAAGTCCACTTCCAATTGAGAGATTCAGATGGGTTTGATGAGTGTTGTTTTGTTCATAAAGTGATAGTGACGGTAAGAGCTGAAGTTCCAAGTTGTTTTGAATGTCTTCATGGGTTTGTGAAAATACAGTCTGAGGAGGAGGTTGGATGTGTGGCAATCTCGGAATTGTTGGGATGGAACTGAAGTTCATGTCATTGGATGGACTTGTACTTGATGCAGTACGAGATGAACATGCAGGCTGGAATCCAGGCAGGTCCGCATGGATTCGCCGGACCGTACAAGCGTCTTGGTGCTCGATGAAACTCTCAACTCTACAAAGTCAAATGAGTAGATCAAAAGGTGTATAAGAATATCATTTCAAAGATATGATTGATTACTATGCAAAAACGGAATTAAGAAAAGGAAGAAATCAAAGCTTCCTCCTGTGGCCCTAACAATAAAATATATACTAAATTAAGACATGTTTGATCTTTATCTTTCTCTGGATTAAAGAAACAACCTCCTCAGCAAACAAAAAGTTGGAGGAAGGCCTATTAACTCTTAAATTTGAGCTTTTATATTAAGAAAATAAAATTGAGATGGTAGATCCTAGGAATAATGCAAAGAATTATATATTACATATATTCAAACTGAGATTATTTTAAAAAAACAACACAAAAAACTTACAAGAATTTAATAAGAAATTACATAAAATAAACAGAAGAATTTAAAATTTTCAGACAAAAACCATTAAGGAATTTTCTTTTGATTCCGACTGAATGTTGCTGAAATTTATGTGTGAGCAGAAAATATAAATGTCGATGATGAAAGGTCACATCTTGGAGCCTGATCTCCNGGGGGGGGGGGGGGGGGGGAGAGGGGAGAGAACGCAGTAAGATACCCAAAATATCAAATTAAGAAGATAAAGGATAGAACAAAAACATAAAGTAACCTGGAAAAGACTCGACCACAGTCACAAGAATGGCCTCTTGTGCCACAAGTTTTAAGATGAGCTTTGTAATCAGATTGAACAGCATAGCCCTTTGAGCACTTGTCACAAACCCACTGCTTATTATTGCTGTGCTTCCTCCGAAAGTGCTTCTTGATCCCGACGAGGTCCCCAAGCGCGTGGCAAGGATCATGGTGCAAGCAGCTGGGTTCTGGGCACACGAAAACCCTCTTCTTCACTTCCGGGGAATCCCTTTTCAACAATTTCCACGGCACCTTATGACGCCTCCGGTGCATCTGCAGATTCTGATCCCTCTGGAACCCTTGGTTACAGATCTCACATACGTATTGGTCTGACTCAAGCAAGGTCTTGGGGGACAAGGACACCACCTCCGCATCCGGATCTGCAATTTTAAACATGCGAAAGATTTATCTATCTATCTATAGAATGATTTACAAACTGCATCTGATAAGTTGTCAAACTATCTTTACTAATTGAAATATTCGTCCCTGATGTTGTAAGCACAAGGAAACCTATCATCAGTATCGAATTTTGTTATAAGTGAATTCGATTTGCTTGGTGATCGAATTCACTTATCTAACATGAGGGTACCTGGAGTACCAGCAGGACGCCTTTTCCTTTTGTTAGGAAGGCCATTATCTTGGGATGGGAAGAGATCAGAAGAAGAAGGGCCCGGACCGGGGCCAGCTGCTGTAGTGAAGTGGTGGTGGTGGTGGTGGTTGTCTAACATATGGGTAGATTTATGTAGTGGGTTTTTCTGATTATGTCTTGCAGATGAAGCTCCTAATCTATCAAGAATCCTTTATTCTGTACAGATGTTGAACTGGGTTGCTTCAATATATTAATCTGAGAGAGGAGCTAGAAAGGAGATATGAGAAGGGGAAAAAGCAGTCTGCTTTGCAAAATCAGGCTTTCTTTTGAGCTTTAAAACCTTTTAGCTTTTTCAATGAGCTTTCTTTGCTTTTTCCTCATTGACCCCCACCTTGAGCAGGTAAGGTTGAGCTAAGTCTTCTATATAAAGTTTGTAACAGTGGAAGAGAGAGAGAGAGAGAGATAAATATACACAAAACATGCAGTACAAAGTGTGGGGTTTAAGATGAGACGGAGAAGGATAGAAGCGAATGGGGCATAATCCAATCACATGACTTGAACTCGAGCCCACAACAAAGCAAACGGGCAGAGGAAATTAACCAAGAAACATCCCCACCACATGAGAAAAAACAAACAAAATCAGTCATTATTTTATTTCACCTTTTTCCCTTTAATCATAATGAAGAAAATGCAATATCTGAATGAATAAATGCAAACCCAGAAACGCCTTTACACGTGACCTTCCATTCCCCCTCACGCGACCTCCCACTTTTTCTCCACTGTAAAGTCGAAAAAAGGTAAAAATAAGAATTGTGGTGGAAAGGTGATTCCTTTGACTAAAAGTACCTCCGATTACTGTTACAAAGTTAAAACATGATTGCTACTAATATACTATACTTAGATAGCTAGTGCTGCTCGTGGAGATGGTATCAAAGTAATGAAAGACCAGTTTGGTATTCAGGGATCTTAATCCATAACCTTTGTTTAATTTATGGTTTAACAGCTAGATCATTAAGCCACAAGGCTGATCGATGAAAGCTGAGGCTAATATTTTTCAAATAATCCACCTTCAACTCTTGTCTTGTGTATAAACAATCGGTGCCACCCTCTATTCATCCATCAATATTCATATTTGTTCATTTGAACATGAATCTTGTAACCGGTCAAAGTATCTCCTTTTCATTTAGCAGGTTCAATTCGTTTCTAACATTTTATAAGTTTAGTTGTATAAACTATGGCCCACCACAAGATATTTTCTTTGAGTATTCATAGAGATGTAGTTTCTAAATCAATATTATCTTGCATATCATTTCTAATACAAAACATCAATTCGTTCCAACATCAAAGACATCCTATGATACATCTGTTTTCCATATACATCCTATATGTTTGGACCATGTTGTTGATCACCGAAGTAACACTTTATATAATATAATATAATATAAATAGTTAGGTTTTTATTTCATCCCTATGTTAATGTTTTGCACTGGTTTTAAACTTTTAAGGTTAAAACAGGCTTTTTCATCAAGACCGTCAATTTCATAATTAGAGATCCATGTCAGTTATAGCTTGAAATCTTGTTAGCTTTTTATGGATATGAGAATACATAAGATTAAGGTACGAAAAAACAATGGTAGTTTTGAAATCGTAAACATAGATAGTAAATTAACAACTATATAAGCAAAATCATGTTGTAATACCCAACAGAATTAGTTGCACAAACAACAGGATCAAATAACAATAAACAATAGAAGTTCTAGTAGTCAAGCGCCAGAAGCAACAAAAAGCAAATACAGATAAAAAATTAAAGAAGTAGATAACAATAGCCAATGGAAGAAGTGAAACGAACAACACAAGAAAGAAAAGGAATCATCGATTCAAGAAAAAGATGATAGCAATAGCGTGCAATATGTTGTGGAGTTTAAAGATTAAAGCCTAAAGTTTTTGTCTATTGAATTTTCGAAGCACATAAATACTTAATTAGATAAACGATAAATAATAGTAAAAATAAACAGTCATTAAATTTAATAGATTTCTTTTTCCAATACAATTAATTGATAAAAAATTCGGGTCTTTATCTAAATTCTTCTTGGACTCCTTTATCTACTATTTTTTTGGTCTCATATTATTTCCAAAAAATCATTGGTCTATTTTATATATTTACTAATTATTTCAACTATTATTTTCTAATATATTATAATACATTAAGGAGGTGTTTGAGATTGCTTATAAAAGCTGTTTTTTAACTTATTTTAGTCTGGCACCGATGATAAGTTGTTTTCTGATGTTTGGATAAGAAAAAAAAAACTGTTTATATCGGTGCCAAACCGGTAATAAGTTGTTTTTGATAAGTTAATCATTTCTGACTTATGAAAAACTGCTTATTACCATTTTACAATTTTAATCCTATTTAATTTAACTCCGATTTAATATCACATAAGTTAATAAGCACTTTTACAAAAAAAAACATAAGTTATTTTAAATAAGCAATCTCAAACACCCCCTAAATAAAAAAATAGACTCTTATTTTTTCTCACACCTTGAGCAATTGCCTATTTTACCTATAAAAAATATATTAAATAAACATCATCTTTTTAATTTGATCCAAATTGATTCAAATAGCAACACTCTTTTAAATATTTAGATGTTAATTTGACAAGATTGGTCTAATTGGTATATGTATGTGACCACTATCTTACTAATTTTTTATACTTGTCTATGATTAAAAAGGATGAGAATATAATTGTTTTTTTTTTTTGTATATTTTGCCATTCTCATATGTATTATCCAAAATGTATCTATTTTAAATGTCAACACATTTTCATGCATTTTTGACAAATTGTCACATATTAATTGTGTAAGAATTTTGATGACTTGTTGAACACTAAATAAAGCAACACTATTTTTTTCACTTTTACCATTCTTCGCAATTGAAAATTGTTTTGGTCTTACATTTTATTAGGAGTTAGTTTCTTCGCTACCGTTAGTTTTTGTAAGCCTATTAAAGGCTACTCATTTGTTCAACAATAAAATATAAGCAGCTTTCAGTTCTATTCTTTCATTCTTTATTTATGTCTGCTATATTTTATTGTTCTTATAATTGTTATCAGAATTATTTGAGTAAATTTCTCCTCATTCCTTGGTTAACCGAGTTGTGAGATTAACTTGTGAGAGATTCTCCTTCTAACAAAATGATTGACCTTCAGGTCATTGGCATAGTTAAGAAAATCTCAGATAACTCCAACTAAAATTCTTGATCTACTTGCATCATATCGTGGATTCAAAGACAAGAATTGTTAGGAGGTTGTCAATTGAGCAAAAGTCGTGAAAACACAAGAATACAACAAAGTGAACTAGAGAAGTAGAATCAAATGATACTAGAAACCATTTCAATTATATACAAAAATACGAATTACGTACAAAAGAAATTAATATGACAAATAAAGAAGCAAAGCAAATACGACTAAAAAATAAGTTGCATGGAAATAAATTCAAATTATACAACTAAACTTTTGGAAATAAGCATGAACTTGTTCAAACTTTTAAATTCACTCTAGTTTATTGATGACTCAAAAAGGAGTGTCAGATGTTGTTTATTTACTTCTTAATAGTTTCATTAAGAGTTAGCATCTGAATCATTAAGAGGTGAATCTTGTTTGACAAAAAAAGAAGTCTGTCTCTTAATGGTTCTAAAACCTTCTGAATGATTTTGTATCATGAGTCTCTCTTAACCATTAAGTGTCTTGATTTCATTGTAAACAATTACCAAACAATTATATTTTATTTTGCACTATATCATGAAAGTCTCTTAATCATTCTGATCACTTAATCATTCTACACTAAACCATTCAGCAACCGCCAAACAGACCCTCAATCGCAATTTACACATCCATATTGTTGTTGAAAACCTTGTATTTATTGACATAATAAGAGAATACTTGTCAGTATATTTTGTGATATAAATGTGATATAAATGTGATATGGTTGTGTTGTGTTAATTAGGAATATATTTAGTTACCTTATACATAGCCTAGAATCCCTCTGTAATTATGTTATATATATTGGCCTTGATTCTCACGACCAATAATTCCGTATAACATATACCATAAAATTTATATATAACACTCTACATTGAAGTTATAAATTAGATCTCATTTTATAAAACTCTATTATGACTGTCTGAAATCTACTATAAAACTTTTATTAATTACATCTTCATACAAAATGATCCAAATATCATGAAGATCAAAAGTTAACTCCATAAAAATTTCAAGCATGTTTCAAATGAATATCCATATGGGAATCTCACATTACCCCTTTTCTTTTATCTTCTAAACGTTGTTGCCCTGAAATTCATGTTTTTGAAGGAAAAAAATGAAGGCTAGAGAGAAATCTATGTCAGCACATTAGTTGCAATAAAACCAGTTCTCGTAAAACTTCTCAAATCAGTAAACATATAACCGACACCCTGGCCCAATCTAGTTAGTTGGAAAATATTTAAGTATATTAGTCATGAAATAGGCCCGCAAGCACTACATCCCTCCCAGTAAACTAGCCACAACAATCACCATTCAAAAACATACACACCTCGATAAGGCGAAATCAATATCAGCACTGACCCACCATAGGAAACATATTAGTGGGTAATAATATTATATATAGGGTATATTTCAAATACAACCATGATCATTTGTACAACCAATGCAACCCAATTAATTGAGATGTTTTATAGAAATGATAAGAGTTTATTTATTATGATTTGAATATTTATGAAAGATTAATAGGTTTCATTAAATATAATCAACACTTTATATTAGGAAATAATCAAAACTTCTACGAAATCACTTATTCATCAAATTAAATGGACGGTTGAGATTGAGTTGTATTGGTTCTACAAATGTAAATGGTTGTATAATAACCAACATCTCTCTCTCTCTCTTTACATATATATATATATATATATATATATATATATAGGGGCACATTCAAAGGAGAACTGATTAGTTTGTAGTAACCGTGAGATCCAATTTTAACCACAAATCAATAAATAAATTAGGAAATTTATAATTTTGGTAATTTTTAATTAAAATTTTAATACAATAGCTTTTTAGTATTGATAGTTTGTAAAATAAAGCAGACAATAATGAACCAAAAACAATAGCATTTGACTATTGTAATTTTTTTTTTTCAATAAGAGGTTCGAAGTTAGATAGATCATCTAACAGCCAACACCAAAATCAAAATAAAACAAACCCTAAATATCCCACTACAAAGGGATTTATACCAAATAAGATTAGACCAACCTGCATATCCACTTGGGGATAGGGATCTTATGGCCAATAAACCAAACCAACATATCCTA